TCTGTGTAATGGTAGCTATAAAATGCTGCTTTATTTAGTTCCCTTTATTGAATAAAGGAAAAAGAATATTGTTAGGACTTTCTATTTCCTTGTTGCTGGAAGAGATAGTCCCATAATTAAACTGGTTCTCTTCCTGTCTACCCTATGCCAGAATCTATTACTTCTTCTGCTCTTCATTTGGCATGCACAGGTCCGTATGTTAAATCCTTTTAACAAGTCCTTAGAAATGCTTGTTGAGGCTCACTTTTTTCCCCAGTCCTGAAGCTTTAAAGGTTCTTTGGTATTAGCGGAAGAAATCTGATTGAATCCCCATGAACCTCATCATTTTTCATTTTGTTGCTTTCCCTAGGCCATATTTTACTTTTCTTCATGAGAGAGAAAACAGTTTTTATATAGATCTTAATGTACAAAATGGATGATGTATTAAATAATCTAAGTCTCGATAAAACTTACTAAATTTTGGGAAAAAGTAGTAGGACTATATAAATATGATTGTGTGGCGAAAGCTAAAACTTTCAGAGGATAATATTATTTTGAACTATATATCTAATACATGGAATCTGATATCTGGGCAACGTAAATGGATCCTCTGTGCCCTTCCTGTGGTCAAAAGACTGATATTTCAGCACTGGAAAGATAAATGTATGCCCCCCCCCACCCTTAACTCGGTGGGTTGAAGACCTGATTGCACTTGCCACTTATGAGCGGATTGCCTATAGATGTAGACTTTGTATGGACAAGTATAATGAAATATGGGACTCATTTCTACAAAATACAATAGGTTAAAAAAATGATAGTCATATAAATCTATTAGAAATATATATGTACTTGAATAATATCTGTATTAGATAAGCATATATAGAATTGCAATTGTTCATTGTTATAATGACATATTAACACTTTTTTTTCTATTTCTTTTACCTTTCCGTTAAAACACTTTTTACATATTATTTCCTCTTTCTGTAATTAAAAAATTTAAAATAAATAAACAAAAAAGACCTTCTAAAACTCCTAGCTGAATATCAGACATTTTAAACCACTCTTGAACCTGAAATGGTACAGCCATCCAGAAGCCCTAACGCTATCTTGCTGCACTCTGATCCTGCAGAAGGTGCTGTCTTGTAGCCAGTGCTGAAATAAGATTTGGTTGGCTTTTATATGTGAAATGGAAGAAAATGTCATCTTACCTTTGTTTCAGGAAGCATTGCCTTGGGCCTGCGCTGTCTGACCACAATAAGGGGTATTTTGTTTACTTACTTTGCTTTCACTGACCATCCCTGGAACCACCTCAGCTGCCAGGACCAATTTTGGAATAGGAGCTGGCCCTCTTTGTGCTCACATTTGGAGGTCCATGCTTGGGGTATTCTATTCAGTTTTTGGAGAAAGCCATTCAGATCTTCACTGTCCCTTGACTGAGTTAATCAGTAGACTAATAATAGAAGTCATCATTTTTTTTTATCAATACAATTTATAAAATTTATATTTGCATTTATATTGAATTTACTTGTGACTCAACACAATAACAAACTTTAATGACCCAGTGTAGTTTTTTTCTGGATCAGGTAAAAATAGTTAAGTTCTGCTACCTGTTATCACCTGGCCTAATCTGTCTAAACTCAGAAATTAAGCAGAGTTTGGCTTTGTTTGTGCTTGTGTTAGGAGACCATAAAGGAATTTGTGAACTGTAGACTAGACTGAGAATAAAAAAAAAAATTATAAAGAAGGAAATTGTATGGATTTAAGTGTATCTTACAGACTCCCCCTCGGTGTGGTTTCATCCAGAAACCCCAGCTTATGAAAGAGGTGTGAGTGTTATAGATATTTGCTGAATGCTGATATGCCTAACAAGACACACAAACACAAATGAACAACACGGTTTATTTTTTACTAATGCTATACTGATTAACAATAACATTTATGGTGATGCTTAATGCAGAATGATACTTACATTATTTGGCTACATATAATTATGGATACGTTAGAGTCTTCCACTAGGGAGATACATTCTGACAGAGTCTCAAAGGGTACCAACAATAGCTGATCCAAAACAATTCTTCCTTATAATGTATGTTGCTATAAAGACACATCTGAGTGGCATTCTCTGCTACTCTGCCACACGTGATCATACCGTGACACTGCTTATCAGCAATGTCAAAATTATAACGATTGTTAGTATTGAATGTGCGCAGGAAAAGTGATTTGTCTTCTGATTAACAGAACCCATTGGCCAAACAGGATACTGGGAGATTCTACTTTTCCACATAGGTATCTGTCTTTCTTTCTCTTTACAAGAAAAAGGAAACACAGAAGCATTGATATATTCTTCCTTCTGCTAGATGAAATGGGCTTGTTTAATAAATAAATAAAATATTCCAAAGGTGCAAAATTATTTATTTATGTAATACGTTTGTATGGCTGTCCATCTCACTGAATGTGACTCTGGGCAACATATAACCAACAATTAAACAATATCACAGCTGTTAAAAAGAACCCTTAAAAATATAAATAAAAGCAAGATTGTGGGAGAAGAATATTCATCTAAACACAATAACCACAAATATTTAGTAAAAAATCAAAGATGTTGAATAAAAGATAAAATTAACTGGATAAAACATAACTTAGCTTGCATGCGTTTGATAAAATGTATGCAAATCTAGAAGCACAACCTGATCAGATAAGTGGAGACTGGAATGAGACTGGAAGGAATGAAAGATCAAAAATGATATACAAGCCCAGTCAGGATATGAGCCTTCATCTTTAAAACCATCAAACACAAGTAAAAAAGAAAAGAAAGACTAAATCTAAATGGAAATATCCCCAAAAGAATGAAGAACATAGATATAAGTAAAAACCACAAAGAAAAGGCCACAATATTAACAGGAAAGAAAAAAGTTTTAAAAAACCCTGATTGATGCCCTTGAAGGAAAAGAAGGAAAGAAGCATAGAGGCTGCTAACAGAAAAAGCAAGACATTAAGCTATACACAAGAACAAATACAAAGCAGGATCAAAAAGTTGTATCAACTTATCTGCAACAGAACCTTTTCACCAAAAGGGGGTACCAAGGACAGTGGCAGGTATATATTCATATGGAGAGGCCAAAGTCAAGCCAAGCAAACTAACATAGTCATGCAGATCAGAAAATAAACCATAAATTAGGTTATTAAGATTAGGGGTTTCTAATCAATTGCAACTCACTTCTCTAATTGCCAAGAAAACTCTGTGGAGGAGTCCATATAGTCAGCAGGAGCTGAGGTAGACTCAAAGGGATTGTTACCTTTACGTAATATATTTGCCAGTGAGCTAGGGGTATTGCAGAGGGTGAATATTCTCTTCTCAGGCTTAAATTAACCACCAACAGATTAATATCTGGGCTGTAATGCTGGTCAAGCTACCTTTCAACCCTTCTTCTGACTGAGTCATTTGTGATAGGTTTCTGAAAAACCACAATTCCCTAGAAAATAAATACTGTATTTAAATAATAAGTTTCTCTGTTGTATTAGCTCTGCCACCTGAGATAGATCCATATGATTCTTGGCCTTTGAAGGTTCAGGTTTTAGAAATAATATACTTGAAACCATTGGGACCAAGTTTCTAAGGAAAGTGTTTCAAGTGCAGTGTTGCATTTTGAACATAGCATTCTGCTCAGAGGTGGGCGTAATAAAGAATGAATCTTGCATCTAGGTGAGGATGTTTAACTTTTAGCTAAAGCTGAAATTTTCACCATAAGACCTGGCTCCTTCCACATTGGTCACTCTCTTCCATGCATCTGGGAAAGTGAAGGTAGAGTTCAAAAATGCTTCAGAGTGGACTTTCTTCCCAGATGGTGGTGAAAATGGGTTGCAACCAGGCAAGGTGACACTGAAACAAAGGCTTCCTGATAACTGATGCACAGAATGATCAAAATAGAGTCCTGCAAGTATAGGGGCTGGTTGGTTATCCCTAGGTTGCACAATATTTCAAGGAACTTACTCTCCTGAAGTATCACAAAGTGTGCATCCTGGCATGTTTTAGTATCCTTTATTCAGAGATTCCTTGGGATAGATATAAGAACATTGTCCTCATTGAAAAACTCTGCCCGTGTAGGGCAAGTGAGATAGAAAAATTGGTCCATGTCTTTCTGTTCTTCCTATAGTGACATCTGTAGTACTGTTATAGACTCTTTGTTTAAAAAAATGCTGAGGTGCTCTGGATACATCTTAGGTAAGCTGTTCGTTTGAAGATGAAGAACAGAAACACATGGCAAGTACCAATCTGTTTGGCAGCCGGACAAGGCTGATGAAGCCACATGATGGAACAAAAAGCCTAGGAAGATAGAAAACAGGGATCTGTGTCAGTTTTGTGTAACCTGTATATCGCTTACTTTGTTATTACAACTTGAATTACATTAATACATTTTTGATATTGGACAGCGGCCAGAATAAAGTTGATTGATTGTTTGATGTTTCTGATGGAGGGAAGGAGGAAGGGCCTACAGTTCTACTGTTCTGAAAAGGAGGACAAGTCTGGTATTAAATTTTATTGCATTATTCATGAAACTGGCTCAATATTTGTACAGCAGTCATATTATATGTAGAAATGTCAGTGCTCTATTCATGTTTTCCCCATTTAAAAGAGAAAGAATATAGAAGAAATACCTTGAAATGTTTATCCAGAAGTCCAGGCCTAGAGAGAATTCTCAACAACTTCAGTGGCAGAAGGAAAGAAATCTGGGTTTCACTGCTTCCTCACTTTTTGAATTTAGATTCTTCTAGTCCTGTCCAATGCTGCACAAGATTTGCTATATTGTTCTTCATTTTTTTAAAAAAAAAAATGGATGTCATATGCACTTGTCAATGTAGTCTTGCTATATTTCCTTGGTAATGGTTTACAGGCTGTGAAGGCAGCTCCTTTGGAGACCACCTTTGGATTTCCCCTTGTCCAGCTCATTGCCCCAAAGAGTAGTGGGCCCCAATAAGAGCCATAGTAGAAGAGCAGCACAGAAGGGAGGAGGAAGCAAAAGATGGAGGAGCCATTGCCACTGCGCTATGCCACCTCTTCCTCTGTTGCTGCTCCAAAGTTCTGCCACGTCAGCCACAACAGCACAATTAATGCCAACTGCCTCCTTTTCTTAGTCAGATATCTGAGAAGCAGGCAAGGAAGAGCTTGGCCAGGTGATGGTTTCCCAGGTGCTTGCTCCTGGCCACTTTCTTTCTCCAATTACTCTCCCTTCCATCCTGTATGTGAGGGAATGAAGGGATAGAGAAAAAATTGGTGTTCTTCTGATAGGGAGTGGTACAATTGTTCCACACATGTGTGTCTGTATCTGACATGAGAGGAGGCAAAGTCCCCTGAGTAGAAGGGAAGGGATAGTTTGTAGTGACTCAGAAGGTGGGGGCTCAGTACCTGAGCTTTCACCTTCCTCCAAATCACTGCCCCAGTGGAAGATGGCCCAGCCTCATTGGGGAATCCATCTGAGAGGTTCACTGGGGCCCAGTGAGCTTTACTTATGGTCCTCCTTCCCCTTCCTTTTTCATAGTTTTCAATGATGACTTTCAGGCTAAAGGTGCTAATAAATATGGATCCACACAAGTTACTTCTGTGTACAGAAAAGGCATAGCAACATGGGTTCCTTTAACTATACACCAAAAAAGTGTCTGGTGAATGATTTTTAATTATTTTCCATAGTCAATGGACCAAACAATAAATATTGCGCAATATGCATCTTGTGTTATCAAGCGGCGGCTTTTACTTCTCCCACAAATACACTATTTTTAAAATTAGCCTTCTAGACTTTAACTTTGATGGGAGCAAGTAATGTGTTGTTTATAGTGATCAGCTTCCCAAATAAGCCATGTATAGACACATTTGTGTATTATCATTTCCAGGATGGAATGGGAAATCTCAGAGTCACCAAAAAAGGAATTCGACTTGAAGGGATATCTGAATTTCTACTTCCATTGTACGTGAAAGAAATCCATTCCCGAAAGGTAGGTTCCAACATCTGTTTTGCTCAAACCACCATTAAAAAAAATGGAAGACTTTAGTTCCAAAGAGTAAACTGATATACAGGTTAATATCTCCAACAAGATGATTTTTGAATAGGAATTTACAAGCTAATCTACCGCAAAGTTTAACTTTCATGTGACTGCCAGTGTGTTTGACTTATACCATCATCCCTAGTCAATCATGTTCAGACAGAATTAGACTTAAAGTCAGCATACTGGAAATCATGATTCTGGGAAAGTTGCTTTAGCATTTCTCATATGAGGGTTGGTGCATTTGTTCCCATGTTTTGAACATGTTTTTCAGAGCGATATAGAAGAAAGACAATGAACAATGTGATCCAATCCAGTATGGAAACTTTTGTTTCAAAAGGTGTTTTCTTTCTTCTTTACAATGGTAAAATACAGACTTTTTTCCCCCTTGTTCAGAATTTCATACAAATCTAGCTTACAAATATCATTGAATATCCGCTCTGAAAAGCACAGAGAGAGAGATCTGTTGGCTTGTAGGCTTCTAGAAGTATTTATTTATTTAATTTTACAGTTCTTATAACACAGATGCTGAAGTACAGAAACATATAATTGGCTTCGGTAAATCAGTATTGCAAAAGAATGTTTAAGCTTGTAACTCAACAGCAGATGAGATGTACAGTATATATAATTCAACAGTAGGAAGACACTGCTTTCAAAGCAACATTTTGCAGTCATAGAAAGTTTGAGACATTTGGAGTATAGGGTAGTTTTTTTGTGACACTTGTTTTATATTTAGTTTTATTGTTGTGAGACACTGTGAGTGCTTCTATAAGCAGAAAGGGGTTATAAATGTTAACAGTAGTCGTGGTTGTAGTAGCACCCTAGCAAGTGTTACTCTTCTTCCTTTATGGGGAAAAAAAATGGGTGCTAACTTTAGTGGTGAAAATTGGGACAATCTGAAGAAACCAGAGTTTAGCAGACGAATCATTATTTTGATCAATGATCAAGTTGTACAAACTGAGTATAATATGGGCAGACTGATTGAAATCAAACCATCTCTATGGATTCCAATTAATTTTCTTCCCAAGATGTATATCCTATAATCATAGCCCTCTCTGCCTTAGTGTCTTCTAGATGACTTGTACTTCAATTCCCAACTTTTTTTATGCTCGCACTGCCTATAGATTATGGAGATTTATTTATTTATTTATTGCACTTATATCCTGCCACAATCTGGTCACTTACATGCTTTACACTACAGAAAACATTTCAAACATTCACAGCATAATTAAAAAAAAAAATCAATTAACAGTTGTAATCCCTCACAAAGAAGTATACAATATACTAAAAGAGGATGACAAGAAGAAAATAAAAGGAATGAAAAGAGTGAAAATAGTTCAGTGCATGAACTTAAGAGAATCCAAAACTGTTCTTTAAAAATGTAGCTTGATTGCTTGCTTGTTTTATTTATTTATTGTATTTATATAGCCACCCATCTCATATAAAGTGACTTTGGGCAGTGTACAACAATTAAAAAGATGAAATACATAAAAAACAAAAGTAAAAATAACTATAAAAGCACACAAAACAGGAAGGGATAATATTAATAAGGGCTAGACTGATCTCTGTCAGGCTATTTTTAACACTGATCCTGACATAGAGAAGTAGTTCTTAGGAATAGGGCACTCTTGAGTATTTTATCCCTGTATGATCAAATAACGTAGGCTAATTCTGTTTGGAGCAGGCCCTTCAGTATCTGCAGAAGCCGTAAAGTGGAATCCAGCACATCTGAATGGCACCAAATTGGGGAAGGCTGTTGAGGTCTACTGAAGTCAATGCATTTAACATGGACTGGATTGTGTGCTAAGAGCAGAGATGGGCATTCCTTCGGTATTAAGATCAGGATTCTCCAAAGTGGTCAATATTGACTCCCAGGAGTCGATGGTACTATCCCATTATTATTATTATTTGATATTGTTATTATGATGATTGGTCGCACAGTTAGCCAGGTGTTTATACTGGATTTGGCATTTTTATCCACCTATCAAGTTCTTCCCAAGGACCTGGGATAGGCAGATGTGGGTGGTTAATAGTGTTAAAGGTATCGTCACAGGATGTAAGCTGTTCCAAGTAAAGCTGCCTTTTGCAATTTTGTCAATGCTGCTGGTGGTGATTTTGTCAATGCTGATGATCTTCAAGTGGCACTCCAGATGTTTGGGGATTGCACCTAAGATGCCTATAACTATTGGTACTATCTTTACTTTCTTTTGCTATAATCGTTTGCTATAGTTTGCAGATTTTTATATTGTGTGATTTTCTCCAGTTCTTTCATTATTATTATTATTATTAGTAGTAGTAGTAGTAGTAGTTAAAATAGTATTTATTAAATTATTTTCATATAATCAATGTTTAGGGTTGATGAATGATATGAAATATCATGAAGGGGTCTATGAGCTAGGGACCCCTGATGTAGATGGTTCTGAAACAATAAGAGTGTGTGACCAGAAACAAAATATATTCAGTCTCTAGAATACCCCTTTCTACCATCTCCTTTCTCTTGTGATCCTCCCCCCACCCCTACACAAGCCATTTTCTCTTTCTACCCCAGGCAGCTGGCCAAAAAAAAGAAGACATACGTCTTACTAAAACATCTATGCCAAAAAACTTAAATTAAGCCAAGTGCAGTTTTTAGGCTGAAATTGCCAATACCTGGCTTTATAGTGAGTGGTTTTAAACCAAACCAGAGAGAGATTGAAAGCTTCAATCAGAAAAAAAGGACACCAGCAAACGCAATGTTATATTATTGTTTAATATCAAATTGTTTTATCATTTAAATTAGGCTATTCCAGCTAACAACTGAAATAAACAAGGCAAGAATGAAGTTCTCAAAGGTACATTTTTAGAAAACTTGATGTGTGAATTCTTTTTTTACATCCTGCCAGTTCTTGAGTTCTTTGTAGCATATCATTGCTAACCATTAATCAAGGAATGATGTGAAAATGTTTAGAATCAATGAAGTGTAGAGAATTTTAATATGCATAGCTGTACTGAAGTTGTCAAGTAAGAAGTGCTATTTTAAAATTTGTCTGTGCCAGAAAATCTACAATAAGCACTGATTCTCTAGCTCCCTGGAATTAATTGAGTACAGTTTATAACGGGATATTATTCAGGAAAATGTAGTTTCTTGACAAGAATGGCCATCCTTCTTAATACACTGAAAAGCATGGGCAGTTTGTATATTGGAATTTCTCTGTTGGATATAATTTCTATATAAAATATCAAGAGATGTAGCAAAAAAAGCATGAGAGTTTTATATATTGCTCCCTTGGCAATATAATTATTGCTAAAATATTGTGCAAGCTTGGAAGACTTCTGTATTGTTTGGTTGTTCTGCATAGGAACCATGCCTGAATTGCACAGGTTGTGTGTTTGTATGTACGAGAGAGAAAGAAAGAGAAAGAAGTGCCATTAGTTGGTTATAAATTTATTTAGAATCCAGCAGCAAATACTGAAATGGTAATTGTTAGTTGTCTTCCTACATAAATGGGACTTATGAAATGTGCTGCTGTACACTGACATCACTGGATTAAGTCTTTAATAAATAGTGATGGGCAATATTTTGTGCTCACCAATAGTCTGGTGTTTCCTCTTAATTCTGCCCATGTGCAAGGAAATTGTTCATTTTTTTTTCTTAAGGGACACTAATGAAGCATAATCTTTAAGTAAATCTTCAGTAATGAGGTCACTTGAGTGTATTTAGGAATGCAAATACCATCACTTTGATGTACTGCTTGACACAATCAAATGTTTATAGTTATGTAAATGACCTCAATGTAATTTATTTGATTTTATGGTTATATAAATGAGTCTTCGTATAATTGGACTTCTTCGGAAAAAGGAGAATATTTTTGAATGTGGAATGCATCCCCGTGAGTCTATATCAAAGGGGAAATTAAATTACTGCTTTTATTAAGGGGGGGGGAAGGAATATTGTAAGCCAAAAAAACCCTTGATCATTTGTGCACAGGTATATGGTCAAGCAAATCCAAAGAATGAAAGATAAAAAGCATATGTTCTAGATGGGGAGTGAAAGTGATGCATTGAACAATGAAAAAAGTATTAAAGGAAAATGCTGGAAAAGAAAAATTAAATTAAAAATATCTCCCTACCCATGTTGCATTGTAGCTGAATGGAAGGCAGCTTTGGATTCAGTAGATATTTTGTATTATTTTTGTGCAACAAAATTAATGCATAACACATAAAGCTAAATTAGTGATAATAAGTGACAGCTTCTTTATTTAAAAACCATTTTTTCCCCCCAAACAAAAGGTATTGAAGAGTGCTGCCAAGTTTGCACCTTTTACTCATTCACCCCTCTGACATTTTAATTCCATTAGGAATGCAAAAGAAACCAGTCAAAAAATTTTCTATTCAAGCACAGTGGCACAACTCAACAATACCTAAACTATTATAGTATAGCCGGGTATGTAATTCATTGGCTCCAGCCACAGAGAGATAGAGAAAAAAAATTCTAAACTTGCTCTTGAGGCATCTTTCAATCTGGCATTGGCAGCCAAATCCTCTGGAAATCCTATAAATTCAGCCTTTTTTCCCTCCTGCAGGCCTTTATGATCATCACCAGCCCCTTGCCCCGTGACTCTCCACCACACCACCTTCAGATTGCAAAGTGCCCTAACAGGAGGTGCATAGATCCGTTGGGTACCTTTGCTTCTTGTGGGCAAAACTCATAGAGTCAGTCTTGCAAATACACTGGGCCACTTTGGGGTGCTCATTCCTTTTTAGCCCAAACCATCTCGTAGGATTGTTCTTTGGAGGAGAACCATCTGGAGCCCCTAGAGAAAAGGTGGGATATACAGTACATGTAACAAATCACAATTCTAACAAATCTAGTTTTAGGAAAACTGTATGAAGTATGTGTTTGGGAAACTTGTACTCAATAAAAAGATATTAGATGTGGGAGCTGTCGGGCTTGGATTAGTTGGTCTTATTTC